TTCCCTGGTGGCGCAGTGGTTGAGAGTCCGCCTGCCGATGCAGGGGACACGGGTTCGTGCCCCGGTCTGGGAAGATCCCACATGCCGTGGAGCGGCTGGGCCCATGAGCCATGGCCGCTGAGCCTGCGCGTCCGGAGCCTGTGCTTCGCAACGGGAGAGGCCATAACAGTGAGAGGCCCACGCACCGCAAAAAATTAAAAAAATAAAAAAATAGTAATAACTTTCTATACCATTTGGAAAATAGGGGAAAGAAAAAAAAAAATTTGCCCATAAACCTAATACTCCCATCTACCCTTAGTATTTTGGTATGTTTTCTATCAGTTTTGTTTGTTTGTTTGTTTTGTTTTATTTTTTGCTGTGTGTAATTTTTACTCAGTTAAATTATGTTTTAACAAACTTTCTTTGGACCGAGTCTGGTGTTAGAGTTGATAGAAGTAAAAAGACCCAGTACCTGCCCATATGAAGCTCAGACTCCAGAGCTAGCCCATCTGGGCTCCAGTTCTCACTTTTCTACCTACTAGCCGTGCGACCTTGGGCCTGTTACTTTACCTCTCTGTTCCTTGATTGTCTCATATGTAGAATGAGGATAAGCATGGTAACGATTTCATACGGTGGTGGTGCAGATGAAATGATTAATATATGTAAAGATCTTGGAACGGGGCCAGAGTACAGAAAGAGCCACATGAGTGCCTGGTGTGGTTCGTGCTGTGAAGTGTACAGTCTGGCAGGAGGATCAGGGCTTCTCCAGCTAGAAAAGGAGACATTCTCGGTAGACAAAGCAATGCAGACAAGCAAGGAGGTGCGAAACAGCATTGCTTTCTGGAATCGCGTGTGGTTTGGAGCTGACAGGGTGGGACTGATGGGGAGAGACAGAACGGGCAGGCAGTGGCTTCGCAGGCCAAGCTCACAGCCCAGAACAGCACAGGGAGCATCATGGACTCATTGCCACCGAGCCCATAACGACACCACGTGCTTTCCCTGAGTTGTTACCACCTTCTCAGTAGCGGCCTTTAGTGACCACACGGTGTCTTGGGGGTAACGTGTCATAACTTATAATTCCCCTAATGCTGGGTATTGAAGTTGCTTCCATTTCTGTGTCAAAACAGCAGTTGTTATAAAGCATATTGCTGTGCATGCCATGTGTTCTGTTTTGGGGGAATTCTTTTCCAGATACCAAGTCCCATGCCTTCTCTTGGGGTCCCAGCCCCTCTCCCCTGGCTGTGGGGAAAGGTGCAGGTACCCAGCTCCTCTGTCCTTTCAGCTCCCAAGTGTGGAAGAAAGAAGGACCTTGACATAGGTCTAAGCATCCTCATGAACGTTCTCATTTAATCCTCACCGCACATGAGAGGCGAGCATTGTCCTCGTTTTAAAGGAGGAGAAACTGACTCTCACAATCTGCTCACACCACATCAAAAAAGGAAAGACATTACAAAGCTTCATAGCGTTTTCAAAGCTCTTCAGTCATGGTCTCTAAGCCTCAGTTTCCTTATCTGTAAAAGGGGGTGATGGAACTAAAGAGGGCTAATGTTTGTTGAAAGTTACTATCTGCCAGGTACTGTTATTAGGCACTGTTGTGATCCCCATGTTACAGTTGAGGAAACTGACTCAGAGAGGTTAAGTAACTTGCCCAAGGTCACACAGCTGGTCAGTGGTGAGGCTGGGATTTGAATGCAGTTTTGCTCCCAAGCTGCACGGTGTGCTTTGGCCATCTGCCTCATACAATTTGTGAGAATTAAATGAGATAATTACGTGCAGTGCTTAGCTCAGGGCCTACTACCTAGTAAGTGCTTAGTAAGCGCCTCCTGATGTGATGATTATTGTTGACCCTTACTGCCTTTTTAGATGATCCTTTGTAGGCCTCTTGCTTTTCCCTTCATCCCTAACGTTGATCCTCCCTCCACCCATAGGCCAGGATATGACTAGTATCCACTCACATGTCCACTCTCTCCCACGGTGCCCACACTCGCACGCTCTGTCCTGCAACTGACCTGCTCTTTTGGCAGGTGACATCCTGGCACAGAGGCAGGGGTGGCCTCCAGCCAATTGTCATGCAGCTTTGGTGGCACTGCCTGAGGAAGGTAGTGTGCTTTCTGGGAATCCAGGAAATAACAAGACATCTGATTCTGTTGTCCAAACTGGGGACAGTTTCCATAGCAGAAACTGTGACCCTGTGGGTAGGAAACAAAATTTCCACCCAAACCTATGGCACTGCTTCTAAGTCTTTATGTTCATGCTCATCCGAGGAGCTTGCTCTTGTGTTCTCTGAGCTCTTTGGGAAGCCCGTGGTAGCAGGCACCAAAGGTTTTAGACAAATGCCCCCGATGGAGTGTGAGATGACCCTGGTCCCTTTGTGGCATCCAGTAGAGAGGGGACACTGGTTTTGTTTGTGGAATTCAAATGACCAGCGCTAAGCTCTTTGAGTTCCCAAAAGTCAACTCCATACTTTACAGAGTGAGAACACCCCGTTTGCACAGGGCGGTGTCACCCATCACGTGCGTTCATGTCTGCCATCTCCTTTGATCACAACAGCCCCGCGCTGCAGATGAGGAAACGGAGTCTCTTTTGGGGAAACTGGGTCAGGGGGCAGGACAGTGCTGGCCACCTGTGCACAGTGGCAGCCCTGGACCTTCTCATCAGCCCTTCTTCCCTCCCACTCAGTGCTGTTTCTGTTTCTTTCCCCTCCTTTCCAGGTCCCTCCAGGCCCAGAATCCGGGGAGCAGCGCTGGTGGGGAGCCACCTGGGTGCCCGTGCAGGAAACCGCCGTGTGTGGTGAGGTGGGCATGGGAGACCGAGCCCGGCTGACCCGAGACCCCGTTTTCTTCCAGACTGAGGGGGAAGGTGGAGGGGCCTCCCCGCCGGCTCCGCGGAGGATGCAGTTCTTTGGCCGCCTGGTCAGCACCCTCAGCAGCGTCACCAACTTGTTCACCAGCCCATTCCGGGTGAAGGAGGTGGCCGTGGCGGACTACAGCTCGAGCGGCCGGGTCCGGGAAGAAAGGCAGCTGTGTCTGTTCCAGAACGCTCCCAGTCGCACGTGGGACTGCATCCTGGTCAACCCCAGGAACCCCCAGAGTGGATTCCGGTGGGTGATGGCCCGTTGCCCCACACGCACTTCTCTCCTTTGACTCCTCCCAGCTCTCAGCCTGGAGGGTCCCTTGGCCGAGAGCAGCGTCTTCAGGGGGGTCTGTTGGGGGTGGGGCTGCTTTTAAAACGGAGGGAGGGGCTTCCTGGACTCGACACCTTCCGGCGCATCAGGGTCCCGGCAGCAGGGGCTGGGGCTGGAGGACTGTTGCCTGCCTTGCGGCTTGACCCGTACAGATGGAGGGAGGGAGGAAGGATGGGGAAGCCGAGAAGGTCAAATTGGGGAAGGCCCAGGGATCACCTGCAGCCCTGGGTCCTTAAGGCGCGACTGTCCTTGTAGGGGCTGGTTGGCCGAGGTTTGTTCAGGGGAGCCTGGAAGGGGTGGACAGCTGCTCTTCTCAGGGCATGCTGGGCCCCCCTCCGTGGGCTAGAGGAACGTGTAGGAACGCAGGACAGGGCTGAGGAAACTGAGCAGCTGCAGGGCCGGTTGGGAAAAGGGGAGAGGAGTGACCAAGGACCCCAAATGCAGGGCCCAGGGAGCTTGGCAGACCAGGCCTGAGTTGGGCTACGGCTGATGGTCCTGCTTCATTCGTTCACCCATCTGGCTGTCCTGTCGTCCAGGGAGTGAGCTGGGAGGTGCGGATGGAGGATGGAGGGTGGGAGGCTTTAGCAGAGGTTCTGAAGAGCTGCAGAAATGGTGATGCCAAGGCCTGGGAGTCGCTGGGAGTGAGGGCTGTTGGGGGGTTGGGGGCACTGTGCCAGAGCCCTGGGCTTTTCACTGGGGGTAGTCATCGTGGGGGGTTCCCCACTGCTCCGAACACCCTGCGCTTTGTGGAGAGAAGGCTCGGTGTACTGGACGTCCTCTTCGGGGGGCTGAAGGTCTGGCTTTCAAGTCTCCTTTACTTGCCTGGAGGGCTGTGTCCCCAAAGTACTTAAGTGTGTTGCACGGAGGTGTGAGGGTCCTGCTTCCAGCCTCCAGGTAGAGGTGCTCCTGTTGTTCTGTAACTGCAGAGCTTCAGGTTCGGGGAGGGGATCGGGGTCTTCCGAATCCTCACGTTTTATTCCCTAAGGACTGGGAGTCCCACAACACCCCCATGGGTGGAGAGTTGGATGCTGGCTGATACAGACGACAGCAATGATAGTATCGCATTATATTAGCGCATGTGAGGCACTGGTGTAACTGTTCGCTCCCTCTGTCCTCACCACAGTCCCCAGAGGTAGGGCTATTATTGACCCCTTCTTACACAGGAGGAAACAAAGCTCAAAGAAGTTAAGTAACTTGCCTGAGGTCACAAAGCCACTCATAGCAGAGCTGGGGTGCAGACATCCTGGCTCCAGAACCCACCTCTTCCTTTTCCTCCAGGTGGGCCGCTTTGCAGTGTGATGAGCTGGGCCCATCCTGGGCCCCCAGCCTGACATATGGTCCAGGCGCCTGGCTCTTCTGAGGTGAGCCCCGTGGTGATCACTTGTAGCACCGCCGTGTACATTGTGATAACGTCCATACTTCTCTTCCTGGTACGAGTTAATCATTTACTGCTGACATTGATTTGTGACATATGCTCTTTGACGAACCCCACCAGCCCCTCGCTGGTGTCTCAGCAGAAGCAGGGCTGCACTTCCCAGGAATCCTGGGAGGAATGATCAAAGCGTGTGTGACACGTGATCTTTGCTTCTCAAAAGGGGACTGACTTTTGAGGCCTTCTGTGCTGGGACTTTGCCTGGACACACACCGTAAGGTTTGCCCATTCACTGTTTATCCAGCCCACAGCCCATCTCCACCACTGGCAGGTCTCTGCCCTCCAGGGGCTCAGGCAGTAGCCAGAAAAGGTGGATCAGGACCCGGCATTCAGTGGGGTAAATGTGGGGTACATGGGCTTGTGTCAGACTCATGTTCCCTAGACAGACCTTCACTCTTTACACGTTTTCTTTGCCTTTGTTTTTCCATCTGCTAAGAATGCTCTTCCCGCACTCCTTGGCCTGCGACTCATGTGTCCCTGCTCTGTGAGCCTGTGCTCACCCTCTGCTCTCCCTCAGCAGTGTCTGTACCTTTGTCCGCCCCTCTTGCCACGGATTGCCACATGTCTGTTTGCACATCTGTCTCCCCCACCAGACCACAGAGCTCTGGAAGGACAGGGCCTGGGTCTGAGTCAGTATATTCCATTGTATGGAATGTACCACATCTTCATCCATTCATCTGTTGATGGACGCTTAGGTTGCTTCCATATCTTAGCAATTGTAAATAATGTTGCCATGAACATTGGGGTGCATGTATCTTTTTATTTACTCACTTATTTATTTATTTGGCTGCGTTGGGTCTTTGTTGCTGCTCATGGGCTTTCTCTAGTTGCAGCAAGCGGGGGCTACTCTTCCTTGCGGTGCGCAGGCTTCTCGTTGCGGTGGCTTCTCTTGTTGCGGAGCACGGGCTCTAGGTGCACGGGCTCAGTAGTTGTGGCTCGTGGGCTCTAGAGTGCAGGCTCAGTAGTTGTGGCGCACCGGCTTAGTTGCATGCGGCATGTGGGATCTTCCCAGACCAGGGCTCGAACCTGTGTCCCCTGCATTAGCAGGGGGATTCTTAACCGCTGTGCCACCGGGGAAGTCGGGTATTTTTCTATATTATCTTCTAGAAGCCTTATTAGTTTGCTTTTACAACTAGGTTGATAATCTACCTGGAATTTTTTTTTTTTTTTTAATGTATGGTGTGAAATAGGACTCAAGTTTCTTTTTCTTGTTTTTCAGCTGGAGATTCAGTTTTCCCAGGACCTTTGATCACAAACTGTTCTTTTCCGCTGCTCTAGAATGCCATTGGACGTGAATCCAGGCGTCCCTCCCTGCAGGAATGAATTCATTTCTAGTCACTGTTCTGTTTTTCTTTGCTTGCACCAATACAATGCTGTCTTGTAACTTCATAATAAATCTCGATATCTGGTAGAACAAATTCTCACTTCCTTCTTCTTCAAGGTCATCTTGGCTATGCTCAACTCTTTGCATTTTTATGGGACAAAGAAGTTCCACCCACAAAACAAACAAGCAAAGAAAGAAGCAAACAAAGCCTCTGCTCTTGAGATTTAAGATTGGTATTGCACTGACTCTATAGATCAGTTCAGTAAGAATTAACAACTTGGTGGTGCAGTGGTTGAGAGTCCGCCTGCCGATGCAGGGAACACGGGTTCATGCCCCGGTCTGGGAAGATCCCACGTGCCGCGGAGCGGCTGGGCCCGTGAGCCATGGCCGCTGAGCCTGCGCGTCCGGAGCCTGTGCTCCGCAACGGGAGAGGCCACAACAGTGAGAGGCCCGCGTACCGCAAAAAAAAAAAAAGAAAAAGAATTGGCAACTTAATACTGTCTAGTCTTCCAGACTATAAAACCTGAAATACCCTCCCACTTATTTAGGTTTTCTTTAATTTCTCTCAATAATTCTTTGTAGTTTTCTGCACATTCGTTTTGGACATATTTTGTTAGATTTATTCCTAGTGTTTGACATGTTTTGATGTTATAGTAAATGATATTTATTAAAATTTAATTTTCTACCTGTTTGTTGTTGTATATAGCCAGGCAGTTGATCTTTTGTATATTCATCTTGTGTTCAGCAACCTTGCTAAACTCATGTATTAGTTCTAATAATTTATCTGTAGGACTTTTTGGGTTTTCTGAGAACATAATGGTATCATCATGAACATAATGACAGTTTTTGCTTCTTCCTTTCTAATCCTTATACTTATTATTTATTTTTCTTGCCGTACTGCACTGGTAAGAATGATGAGTAAAATGGTGAAGCAAGCATCCTTATCTCATTCCTGTCTCAAAAGGGAAAGCTTCAACATCATACCATTAAGCATGATGTTTGTTCTAAGTTTTTTGCAGATACCCTCTGTTGCATTAAGGATATTCCTTTCTATTCTCAGTTTTCTAAGAGCTTTCTTTTTTAAAAATTCATGAATGGGTGTTGTATATTATCAAATGCTCATACTGAAACAATTGAGATTTGCATTTATTAGCTCGTTAGTTTCTCCTTTATTTTGTCAGTGTGGTGAATTATACATTGATTTGGTGATTGGTTGGTTCTGAAACGTTAATGCAGCCATATATTCTGGGAATAAATCTCTCCTTGTCATGATGTAGCATCCCTTTTGTATATTGCTAGATTAAATCAAATATTTGTTTAGGATTTTCAGCACTATGTTTATGAGCGATATTATCCTGTAATTTTCTTTTTAAAAAACATTCTTATCAGGTTTTGGTGTCAGCTCTAGCTGGCTGCATAAAGAAAGTTGAGAAGTACTCCTTGTCCTATTTTCTGAAAATTGTTTAAGGTTGATATTACTACTTTCTTAAATGTCTGGAAGAATTCATGGGTGAAGCCATCTGAGCCTGGAGTTTCCTTTGTGTGAAGCTTTTCAATATGTATTCAATTCTTTAATAGATACAGGACTACCGGATTTTCTCCTCCTTGTATCAGTTTTGGTATGTTGTGTTTTCAAGAAATGTCAAATTCATTGACATAAAGTTGTTCATAATGTCCTCTTTTTTTCTTTTTAACATCTGAAGAATCTGAAAAGATGGTATTTCGGGTTTTCTGTATTTCTCATTGAGTTTTGTTAGGGGTTTATTGATTTTTTAAAGTCTTTTCCAAGAACCAACTTTTGACTGTGTTTAAGCCAAATGCTGCTGTATGTATACTAATGCCATTTCCCCTGTCCATTAGCTGTTTTATTAATGTTTAAGTAGTTAAAAATTGCAAAATGCATCCTTGACTTATTACAGTCTCCCTTTTAAAAAACTATATGTATTTAATCTATTTATTTATTTGACTGCTTTGGGTCTTGGTTGCAGCATGTGGGATCTTCGTTGCCACGTGTGGGATCTTTTTTTTTTTTTTTTTTTAGTTGCAGCACAAGGGGTCTTTAGCTGCGACATGTGAACTCTTAGTTGCAGCATGTGGGATCTAGTTCCCTGACCAGGGATGGAACCCAGCCCCCCTGCACTGGGAACGCAGAGTCTTAGC